CTATGGTCTGAAGGTTTGTGCCCACCCCCCAAATTCATACATTAAATCCTAACCCCCAAGGTGATACTGTTAGGATGCTCTTTGGGAAGTGATGAGGTCATGACACTGGAGGCATTGTGATGGGATTAGTGACCTTATAAAAGAGACCTCTGTGAACCCCTTCTCTTCTCCTAGCATGTGAGGTCACAGAAAGCGGAAGCAGGTTCTCACCAGACACTGAATCTTGAAGTACCATTGTTACAGAACAAACAAGGGCGGGGGGGCCTGGGACAATATACTATTACTGAAAGAAGCCCCCAGGTCCGTTATGTCCGCCGCCAGAGGAAAGACGTCTCTCAATGCTAGAGATTTGTGAAAAGGAAAGGAAACATTTATTTAATGCTATACAAACTTAAAGTAGGGACCTAATGTCTTCACCAAAAATCCTAAAGTCCCTTAAAGCACCCACAAACAGACACAGTCCTTCCTTCTTTCCCCCTTTGCCCAGTCCAGAGTACCGTATCTCCTAAAGCTGCGGGGGTCCCTACTTTGGCAGAGGCATGTGGCCCTCTCTCCCTGGGCCACGGGAGTCCCCACTCCGTCAAGGCCGCATGGTTCTCCCCCTCAGGGCCGCGAGAGTCTTCACTCTGCTAAAGCTGTGTGGTTCTCTCTTGCAGGGCTGCGCATGGTTCTCCCTCTCAAATGGCTGCCGCGTCTCGGTTTAGATCCCATCACCAATCTTCCTCTGAAGCCCCATTTCCGGCTCCTCTCACAACTGGCTACAGCTGCCAGATTCTGGGTAGGTGTGGCCCTGTGGTGTGGAGCCAATTATCTCCAGGCTCTTCTGGATCTTATTACAGATCCCTATTTGAGGCTCCCCTCTTGGCTGCACCCTGTTACACCATGATCTCATACTTCCAGCCTCAGAATCATGACAAATAAATGTTCAAAAGCTTCCCAGTTTGTATTATTTTTATAGTAGCCTGAGTGCACTCAAAGGGTTTTGAGCAGAGGGGGTGTGGCTTGCCTTGTGTCTAAGGAACACCTCTGCCCTAAGAGAAAAGACAGTTTGGGAGCTAGCTGAAGGTCAGTAGGAAGATGACTGCAATTGTACAGGAAGGAGGTGATTGAAGGCTGAGGATGTGTCTATCCTTTGCTGTCAGATTGAGAAATCAGATGAGGGTGTAAGAAGTTGGAGAGTGATACTGAGGATTTTGCCCTGAGTCTGTTTCCTCATTTGTCAAAGAAAATAGCATAATTTCCTCCCTCTTGGGGTGATGTGAGGACTCAATGAAATGATGTAGGTCAAGTAACTAACCATGTTGGAGGCCTACTTGGAATTCAGCAAGGGGTTGGCCCTGCTTCTTCTTTTAAAAAATATGTTTTATTGTTTATGTTATTACGGTTGTTCCAAATTCCCCCTCCAACCAGTGCCCCCACTCCCTCAGGCAATTCCTACATCTTTGTTCATGTTCATGAGTCCTGCATAAATGTTCTTCAGCTACTCTGTTCCCTAGGCTGTACCTTACATCCCCATGACTATCCTGTAGCTACTGATTTATACTTCTTAATCCCTTCACCTTTTTCATCCATCCCCCTGAACCCTCTTTCAACTGGCAACCATCAAAATGTTCTCTATACCTATGATTCTGTTTCTGTTTTGCTCATTTTGTTTTTTAGAATCAATTGTTGATAGATATGCATTCATTGCCATTTTATAGTTCATAATTTTTATAGTGTTCAAGAAGATTCTTTAACACTTCATATAATACTAGTTTGGTAATGATGAACTTCTTTAGCTTCTTTTTGTCTGGGAAGGTCTTTATCTGTCCTTCAATTCCAAATGATAGCTTTGCTGGGTAATCCTGGTTGTAGGTCCTTGCTTTTCATTACTTTTAATATTTCTTGCAAGTCCCTTCTAGCCTGCAAAGTTTCCTTTGAGAAATCAGCTGACAGTCTTATGGGAGCTCCCTTGTAGGTAACTAGCTGCTTTTCTCTTGCTGCTTTTAATTCTCTCTCAGTGTTTAACCATTGTCATCTCAAGTGTGATGTCTTGGTGTGCGCCTCTTTGGGTCTATCTTGTTTGGGACTGTCTGTGTTTACTGAACATGTATGTCTATTTCCTTCACCAAATTAGGGAAATTTTCTGTCAATATTTTTTCAAATAGGTTTCCAATTTCTTGCTCTTTCTCTTTTCCTTCCAGCAACCCTCTGATGCGAATGTTGGTACACTAGAAGTTGTCCCAAAAGCTCCTTATACTATATTCTTTTTTATTCTTTTTTCTTCTTGCTATTCTGGTTGGTTGTTTTTTGCTTCCTTATGTTCCAAATTGCTGATTTGATTCTGAACTTCATCCACACTACTGTTGAGTCCCTGTAAATTGTTCTTTATTTCAATTAGTTTATCCTTTGTTTCTAACTGGGTCTTTTTATGCTGTTGAGTTTGTCGCTAATTTCCTTGAACATCCTTATAACCAGTGTTTTTAACTCCACATATAATAAATTGCTTTCCTCCATTTTGTTTAGTTATTTTTTTCTGAAGTTTTGATCTTTTCTTTTATTTCATCCGTGTTTCTTTTTCCCCTCATTTTGGCAGCTTTCCTGTGATTGTTTTTATGTATTAGGTAGAGCCACTATGTCTCTCAGGCTTGATAGAGTGGCTTAATGTAGTAGGTGTCCTGTAGGGTGCAGTGGCACAGCCTCCCCTATCACGCAAGCTGGGTACTCAAGGTGCACCCACTGTGTGAGCTGTGTATGCCCTCCTCTCATAGTTGAGCCTTGGTTGCTATTGGCACGTCCAAGGTCAGCCACCATCTGTGTTCTGTCCCAGGTCACACAACATAAGCTATAAAGAGATTTGCAGATGGCTGCTACTTGTGCTGGGTTTAGAGGTGTCTAGGAGAGGTCTTGCTTCTCTTATCCTTGCCAGTCTCCTCTTGCGGCAGCCTGACTAGCCATTTCCTGTGCATACTTTGAATCTTGACTTAGGCCTTACCTTCTCAAGATGTCTTTCCCTGATGCCTCTAACCCTAACACTCACACATCATAGCTCCTCGCTCACAGCTCTAACCTTGATTGCCAGGGTAGCTGTCCCTCCTGTAGGAAGCCCACAGTGGCAATGATAGGTCCTCTGTCCCAAGCACCTAGAAGTCTCTGTCTGTCCGCCTTCTATCACTACCCTGTCTCCAAGTTCAAAGCTCTGTGGGCAATGCCTGCCCCATATTCCCATGAACTTTCCCGTCTCCCTCCTCAGGCCAGTTCCACATGAAGGCATGAAGTGGGGATGGGGGTTCTGAGTCAGGCCATCCTGAGTCAGAAGGGGATGTTGCTCTGAGGCTGTGTGATATTGGACAAGCCAGATTTTTGGAGCATTGGTCCTTCCTCCTATGGGAAACTTGCTGAAACAAGGCTTGTTCCTTCTCCTTTTCCCTAGGATCTTTCCCCCTCAGGCTGAAAGTTGTGCCCAGGCCCTAGGGTTTTCTGCGAATTGGGACTCTCATTGCTAAAACCAGTACAGCCCTAGGCAAACTGATCCATTGTGGTTGAATGCCCTAAAACTTTTTAAAAATTTCACAAGTAAAATTATGACATTCTTTTCAAACAAATGAAACATTAAACCATTAAAAGGAATTAGGGCTCCTTGGAGAAATGGTTGATTCCAGGTCCGTGACAGAGTACAGGACGAATCTGGAACAATTTGTGCTAGAAAGTAAGAAAGTGCTAAAAAATTATGACTCACTGAAAGAAAAAAGAAGCCGGTTTGGAGCAGCTCCCACTGGCTAAATCTGCCATTTGAGCATCTAAGTAAATAAGGAGAGTAAACAGAGTAAAACTCATTGAGTAAAATAAGAATCCACTAGTCCATACGGCTAACAAATGAAATGAAATACCTTCTCTAGAATACAAAGCTAGTAAATAGAGAATGATGGAAATAGAAAAAAAATAGTATGGTAATAATTCGTTTGACAAGAAATATCAGTGAATACTAGTGGGTTAAAAGCTTGAGGAGTGAAGGGATATTGGCATAGAATCAAAGTATCTTTTCACAAGTAATAATTACAAAGGAAAACCCAGCAGCAATCTGAGTGATGCAACTGAGTGCTGACAATTCAGCACCACCTGACAAAGTGCATCACCTAATCTGATGGATAACTCTGTTCTGCGGGCCTCAGGTAGATCAAGGTCATAAAGACAAAAAGGTATAGTCAGTTTCTCCCAGTTGGAGGGAGAGTAAAGAGACACGACAGCCACAAGAGGCATGATGCAGGGCTGGAGCCGCGCTGGAAGCGGCGTGTTGGCTGTTTGGAATGGGATCACTGGACTGAACATGGGAATGTCTCATTATTAGGAAACAGGGCGGTAGCATTTCATAATTAGTTAGGGGCAAAGGCGCCCCTTCTGCTAGCGGCCCTCAATCAGCGTGCTTCATTTCCTTCAGAAGGCGGGTCTGGTTGTCTGGCTTTACTAGAAACCTTAAGCCGCGCGCTTGACCATTTATCCCACTACACACGTGTTGGGCTAGGACCGCCTAGCCCGTACATCCGAACTATCTGGTTACGGTTCCCTAGACTCTTGGGGTGGCCCACGAGGTGGGGCGGATCCGAGGCCAAGTCTCAGCCCGCCCGGCACAGACACGATCTCCCCGGCAGCCCAGTACTGCCCAGGGAGCCACCGCCAGCCTCCAGCCTAGCGGGTCTGGGGCACGGGCACCGGAAAACAGCTGGCTTCCGGCTCTGAGACTGGGGGGCCTCGCGGTCCAATCAATGATGGCCGGGGATGGGCAGGCGCGGGGCATGGCGGGCCTTTTAGTCGGCGCGCCGGCGGGACGAGGCACCCAAAATGTCTCCGGGTGCCGCAGCCCAAACTTTGGAATTGGAGTGGGTGGAGGTCAGCCGGCGCAGGGCCCTGGCCAATCGCTGGCTGGGGCAAGTGTGCTCCTGTCGCTAGGGACAGTGCAGTCGTGAGGGTGGGACTACGGCACCCACATTGCCCCGCGCGGGGGGGGGGGGGGGGAAGCCCACTGCGGCTGCGCGGCGGCCAGGGTGCCGTCGGGCTGGGCGGTGGTCGGGCGGACGAGAACCCGGTTTGATTCTGGTGGAAGCAACGTGAGCCGGGCCGCGGCTACCATGTCGGCGCCGTCTGAGGAGGAGGAATACGCGCGGCTGGTGATGGAGGCGCAGCCTGAGTGGCTGCGCGCCGAGGTGAAGCGGTTGTCGCACGAACTGGCGGAGACCACACGCGAAAAGATCCAGGCGGCCGAATACGGGCTGGCGGTACTCGAGGAGAAACATCAGCTCAAGCTGCAATTCGAGGAGCTGGAGGTGGACTACGAGGCCATCCGCAGCGAAATGGAGCAGCTAAAGGAGGTGAGGAGCGCGGGCAGCCGCCGCCACGCCCTCCGGCGACTCCGCCGGGACCCGGAACCCTTACATCTACGCCGACCCCTCACCTGGGCAGGGCAGACACTCGAGCGGATCCGTCACCCTGAGCTGTGCGGACTACAGAGTCGGCAGCCTAAGGGCGCCCGGGGTTGGTATGCGGGCAGGCTGCCCTGCTTCGGACCAAAGCTACGGTGGGGCCGCGGCTCCAGCCTGCCTGCTTCTGGTGGCAGGCCTCAGGAACAGTAGGGTGGTTTTCTCTGCAGTGTTTGGCTTCACAGGTTGCGGGGGCGGGGAAGTGTGGGCATGGGGTGGATGCAGAGAAAAGCCAGTCCTGGTCCTGCGTCACCTACTTCCAGGCAGACCACTTCGTCAGTTTCGGCGCAGCCGCCTTCAGCGGTTTCCGTGTTTTCCTTGCGTGTTGTAAGGCCAGGAAAGGGCCGGGACGGGGGCTCACCTTGCGTGTGGCCCTCGTCACCGGCTACAATCCCCCAGTATCTCTCTCAGAGACAGCTTTTTGGCCATACCACGTAATGACTACTCTGGGCTGCTGTGCTTCTTCCTCCCACTTCCAGTCTTGGACGCCCTCCCTGGCACTTCCCTGCAGACTGGTGACAGGTCTGTGGGTACTTGTCCCAGAGAGAGCCTTGTGTCTCCCGTGTGGTTCTCACCCTGAGATGAGGAGGTCAGGTCCCAGGGCAGTCCTTCTGTGAAGTACTTCTCAGTGATTTAAACAGCTTCTCTCCCAGCTCTGTTGTGGGGAGTGAGGAGGGAGTTGTTGCCTTTCGGTGGAACACCCAGGTTTGGACCCACGCCCTATCCCTTGCTAATGATGTAGCTGTGGGCAGGGGCCCTAGCTTCTTCTGGAACATTGCCCACCCAAAAGGTTTGTTATGAGGATCTTATATTTGACAAGGTGGGCATGGTGTCAGATGTGTGGCCTCTCAGTTTCTCGGACAGTGTCCCTTCCCCACCTAACTATTCCCTTGTCTGGGTAGAATCTTGGTCCTTGGTCTTGGGATCTACCATAGTAGTTGCTTCCCCCATCGCCCACTTCCTGGCACCATAGCTCCCAGTGGCCTTGGGCAGGTTCAGAGCCTCCCTGCCTCACTGGGAGACCAGTTGAGCCCTCTTTTGAAGGTGGGGGTGGGGAGAATGAATGAATCTATGCCTGGTGCTTAAGTCTATGCCTGGCTGAGGAGGTGCTCAGTATTAGCATGAGTAAATAACTGAAATGGAGATGGTGGTGGGAAGGCAGGTAGCAGCTCATTGACCGGAGGTGCTGACATCTCTCAGCAGGTATTGTGGCCTCCTTTGACCCAGGCTTGGCTGGCACTGGTTCTACAAAAGGGATAACACGTGGCTTCTCTTACAAGGACCCCATTTTGGTGTGGCAGGATGTTCCCATGGTTTTACTGGGTGGGTCTTACCCTGTTTCCCTCTTACAATCCCCATTTGTGTTCATAGGCTTGGATTTGTGTTCCTGTAAGAAGGGACTAGATCAACCAGTGCAGAGGGAACTGGTCTTCATTCAAGCACTACTCAGTTGTTAGCTCTTTACTATTGTGGACACAAACATTTTGGCCAGTGCAAGAATCTTGGCTTTGTTTAGTGGGTTTATCTGGAGGGTGGGTCCCAGGGGAATGAATCTGCAGGAAGGCGTGTCAGTCTCTGCAGGTATTCTTCAGGTGCTTGCTTAGTTTGTTGTCACATTCTGACTCCTGCATGCACTGGCCACATGGCCTTGGACATGTTGTCCCACTGTCCTGAACTTGAATATCCCTCATTGTAGATGGGAAGTTCTGACAGAAGCTAGAGGAAGGTGCATTAGTTTCAGTAGATGCTGCCAGAAAGGTTGCACCAGTTCACTCACACCCATGGCAGTACAGGCCCTTGTCAACCTGTGTATTCTTGGTCAATTTCGTATGTAGAAATACTCTGTATCTAAAAAGTCAAGATTTAACTAGACAATACAGGGTGGGGTAACAGTAAGTTTACAATTGTGAGTACACGAAACAGTCTATTCTTGTATTATTTATTAGTTGTATTATTTTCCATATGAACAACTATAAACCTATTTTTGCCACACTCTGTATTTGTTAGGTCCTTTTTTTTTTCTCCTGTAGAGAAGTAAACCATCTTCATTCTTTTAAAATTTTATTTCTTGAACTAAAGTGGGTATGGTTACTAACAAATCATGCTGCAAACGGAGGGGTGGTATGTGTGCTGCCACTCAGCCTCACCCCTGTAGCTGAGCTGCTCTAGCCATAGCCTCCCTGTGCCCCACTGACTTCTGCATTTCCCATATCAGCCCTTAGGGCACCACCTTTTTATGTCCATTGTACAGATGGGGAAATTGAGGTGGAAGCAGAGAAGTTGCATTTTTCTCAAGACTGTGAGCCCAGGCAGCCTGTCCCCAAAGGGCAGGTACCTACTGAGGAGTAAAGGGTGGTTGGAGGCCTTTTTGTGTGAGGCCCAGCCTCATGTTTGCTTCAGGGCAGGAAGAGTCCTGATTTTTGCTAAAGCCTGTAGGGATTCTCCTGCTCCTCTTGATACTACCCTAGAACTTGAAGCACAGAGTGGTTGGGGGCTAGGACTCCCAGGGCCCTTTGGCGTGGGAGCTGGGGTGTACATTGTTCTGCTGTTGGCATGAAGAGGTCAGACTTGGGGTAGAAGTTGTGGTCTGGGGAATCCTGGAGGTGCTGAGGTGGCCGTGCTGTCTCCTGGTCAACTGCCAGGAGAGGCAGCTACAGGCATCCAAAGGCCCTGACTCCAGGGCCCACTGTGGCTGTACTGCTGGGCACTCCCCACTGTCCCACAGGCAGAGTGTGTGTCAGGCAGGGGGTTGTGGATTGATCTTAATGGGCTCTTTTACTTTTAAAGGTGTTGGAGACTGCTGCATCACCTGGGCTGTTTACTTCTGCCAGCCTGGGGGGTGAACAGCAGTGCACCTCAACATCTCCAGGGCATGTCTCTGGACTCAAGACTGGCATGCTGTGTCAGAGCTATTTTCATAGGAAAGTAGGACAGGAGGAAGGCCATGCCTGGAACCAGGAACCTGTATCCCAAAAGCGCCCTGCTTGGGCAGGCAAGGAGGAGCAGCATGTGGTGTCCAGGGCTGTGGTTTTTACACTGGCTCCCGGGAGGGCTTGGACCCTGACTGGGCTCTCAGCTGTGTGGCCCTGGACAAGCCGCTTGGTATGTTGGGGCCAGGGTGCAGGACACTGCAGGGGTTGGTATACCTGGAGCCCATGAGGGATGGTAGTGGCTGAGGCTCCCTGGGTCTGAGCAGCTGCCTTAGAGAGAGCCATAGACAGGTCAGCACAGGCTCCTGTTGGGCCTCCCCTATCACTTCCTGTGAAGGAGATCAGCTTCCCTTCATCAGTTTGGGGCAGCTGCCCCTGCCTCCTTAGACCTACTTTTCCACATTAGTACACTGAGTGAAAGGCCACTACACACATTGGGGGATGAAGAAAGATTTGATTTCTTAGACAGTAAGGTGAAGAGGGTAAGTGGGTTCAGGGTGGCCAGGAACCTGCAGGCTCTGACAAGTGAGGTCCTCTGGTTCCGGAGGCTCTGGGTCCTGGGCCTTGGGCCCTGGGCTCAGAGTTGTCAGGCATTTGGAGTGTGGCTTCTTGAGCCATTCCTCAGAGCAGAGGGCCCTATGTTGCTGCCCAGCTGCTGTCCTGGGCATTAAACCCAGCCATCCAACTGGGCTCTACCGTGGGAGGTAGACTGAGAGATGGGACTGCAAGGATAGGGTGGGTCTCAGAGTGGAGCAGGCAGTTCATGCTCAGGCAGGTGATGGCATTGAGGAGGATTAGACTGCAGCTTCTATTTTTAGAGTTTAATATATTTAAAATTTGTTTATTCACATTAAGAACATAAGAAAGTAAAAGTGAGCATTGTCTCTGCAGGAATTATGAAGATGATGACAAGTGGAAAACAACTATTTCTACTTGTGGCATTTTCCTTCCTTTGTATGTATGTGAGATACATATGGTACCATAAAAAATAAAAAATGTTTAGAGTATCTGTAACAGTTGCTTTTAAAAGGACACAAAGTTTGGAATTAGCCTTTGAGTTGCTGAAAAGCAGGTTTCACTCAAGTAGATAAAGACATGAAAGCTTCCATAGATTCAGAAGGTGCTGTGCACTTTCAGTCTGTTGTATTATGTGAAATAATTTTGTGGTTTGCACTTCACAGATTTTCTTTTTCAAAGGCAGTTTTTCTGCACTGTTTCCCTCATAAACAGCTTCCACCTTCTTCAGGGGAAATTTTAAGTATAACCAGAGCAGAGAGAATGGTTCACCCCTGTATTCTCCTGCCTGCTCTGGCAGCTCCCAGCTCTGGCAGCCTTCTCTTTTCCTCACTTCCTCTGTAAGTACAGAGATGTGTTGTGCTGAGAAAATAACTTTTTTTTATTTTAAAAAAGATATATTTTTAAAGATTTTATTTATTTATTTTTAGAGAGGGGAAGGGAGGGAAAGAGGGAGAGAAACATCAGTGTGTGGTTGCCTCTTGTGCGCTCCCCTACTGGGGACCTGACCCACAGCCTAGGCATAAGCCTTAGACTGGGAATCACACCAGCAACCCTTTGGTTCGAAGGGTGGCAGTCAGCCCACTGAGCCATACCAGCCAGTGCTTAAAAATTGTATTTATTTATTTATTTTTAGAGAGAAGGGAAGGGAGGGAGAAAAAGAGGGAGAGAAACATTGATATGTGAAAGAAGCAATCGATCAGCTAGCTGCCTCTCATGTGCACCCCAACCTGGGACTGGGCTACAACCCAGGCATGTGCCCTGACTGGAAATTTAACCGGCAACCTTTCACTTTGTGGAACAATGCTCAATGAACTGAGCCACCCCAGTTAGAGCAATAACTCTGTTTTATTAAAAAAAAATAACCACAGCTGAATTTTCACACCTAACAAAATTGACAGTGATTCCTTAATGCTGTTTCCTAAATAGTCATCATTTGGATTTTCT